GGGGCTGGGGCTGGTCCTGGGGCCCTCTGGCGCCCGGCCCGGCCGGCTCCTTGTCCACCGACATCTCGATCATCTCCTGCTGGGCCCCGGGGCGACGCCGGCGGCACTGCGCATGGACCTGCGGAGCAGACACAGGGGGGCGAGAGTCAGCGCGGCACGGCGGCGGGGAGCACCGCGTCTCCCACCCCTCCCATCCCGCTCACCTCATCGGCCGCCCGACGATCGCTCTAGCCCCTCTCACCTCTACAACAACTCCCCCCCCAGCCTCCTCTGGCCTTGAGAGCACCAGCACACTTTCCCCGACAAAGACGTGTTTCACAGAAACCAGGCAGCCAAGCAGCCCGTCCCTGCAGAAAACAGAATTCCTTCAGCGGCTGACAAACGTCTTTCTTTTGTTTTTTTAGTCCTCGGCACTAGGAGCTGCTTGGCTTTGCGAATGAGCTGCCGAGTCTCTTGTCCATGTGCTTTGTGGTAGCAGCAAAGCAGGAAAAAAAAACGTTGTCTATTCGTCCGGCAGCGTCAGCCCACCCTCTCCCGTGCGTGCCCCTGCGTGCTCCCGCCCCCTCCCGGCAGCGAGGAAGAGATTTGCATAGCCACGCCCCCGCGTCGCCAAACGTCCCCCCGCGCTCATGAATAATTCATGAGACATAGGAGCTCTATGGAGGCAAGAAAAAAAGCGCACACATACATACACACACGGAGATACAGATACACACATACACGCAGCCTGGTCGCCGTATTCTCCGCCTTCCCGTTTGCTGAAGCTGCACCCCCAACTTTCCCTCCCCCGAGTTTTTTTAGTAAGTCAATCGGAAAAATTAAATCCACCCAACAACTGACTTGGCGAGAGACATTTTTTTTTCTGGATCGTGCCCGCAAGTTTTGTTTTTTCTTAAATATATATTTATACATTAAAAGTACCACACGAAATCAAAAAGTATGAAATCTGCAAGACCCACCCCCTCCAAGAAATCAGTTTTCGTCTGAACTGAATTATTTAAAAAACAAAAAAACAATTTTTTTGTTTGAACTCGCAGTCAGTGTGTGTGTGAGTGTCAGTGAGCTCTCTCTCGCTGGACCCCCCTCTCGCGGCTCTAATCAGCGAGACTAGCTCGAGCTGCTGGATCTCGCGCTGCGTTTTGGCGTCTCCTCGAGCTTTATATGTCTCTCGTGTAGCCCAGGAAAAAAAGACCGGCAGCCACGCCAGCCAATCAGAGGAGGAAATACCTCCCCGCCTTTCTTCGTCTGACCAATAGGAAGGAACGGGGGGAGAGGCGTAACGACTAACCTCGTCTCTTCCTCCCTCCTTTTCCCTGTAGGTCTCTAGTACAGTGCCTGACAAAAATACATTTCCCACAAGGGCTGGACGCTATTTTTATAAACCAACGCCCTAATATGCGAAAAACAAATGAAAATAATTTCACTGCGTCTCGGCTGACTTTCAGCGTTGGCCTGTTTTTTTTTAATTACAACCGACAGCACTTTTTCTCCCTGTTCAGACAGGAAACCGCCGCGGCCACCCCAACCCGTGTAAACAACCTGGTGTTTCACTGCCGCCGGAACGAATCTCGCTCTTTCTCCGGCACAGCCGCACCCACACAAAGGACGATAAAATGCTCGCACGCTGAATAGTGTGATGTGTCTTCGAGAAAGAAAGTCGTAGCGGTTAAAACGCGGTCCCCGCCCCCTCCCCCTTCCACCGCTTCCCCTCCCCCCCAGCACTCGGCGCTTGCCTGCGACAGCACGTGAGGCAGGTCCTCGAGCCTTCCGTGGAGGATTCTGGGACATGTAGTTTTCCCAGTCGCGACAGTCCACGCCAGACGGTTTCGCGACTGGAGAGCTTCTTCCTAAACGTGCACAGTGAAGCGCAAGGCGTGTTATAAACGCACCTCTTGCCACTGACGTCTTCTTAAGCACGTCAGTCTTTTACCCTCTGATGACCGTCTTCGAGTTACAAAGCTCACCACAGCGAATTCACCGTGAAGAACTAACGTTGTTCAGTGACCCCGTGCTTCACGCAGCGGCATCTACACGACTAGATGCTTGCAAAATCCAGCCGCCCCCCCCCTTCGTTCGATACAACGTTATTCACTCCTCCACTTCATTTTATTACAATAACGCCACCCGCAGTGGAGCGTTTTAGAACTGTCCCCTGCGCACAGGTGCCGGCTGAGTGACAGAGGTCAGTCCTCTCTCGTGTGATGTTCCCACCCGCGGGCCCGGGCTGGACCGACTTCACGCCTCCAGGCCCCCGTGTCGCCCGAACGGCGCACACGTTCCCACGAAGCGTTAACAAGGAGTAAGCGCCCCTCGCACCACCCAGGCAACGTACACAATAAATCGAGTGGCCTGTGGTCTGTCGCAGTTTCGGCCTCCCTTGTCCATTAATCCCGGTTCGGCGGAGATTTTTAACCAGGTGCGGCACATAACCCCCTTCCACAGCCCCGCGAACACCAGCAGTGAGTTACTGTGATGTGTTTCTGCTACTGACCTCCGTTTCCATCGCGTTCCTTGAACACACAGGCGCCCGGAGTGCACAAATCCTGTCGCAACACGCGAAGCACAGGAGTCGGGAAACCAGCGAACCGGTTGTCAGCCAGTGCTGGATAAAATCCGAGGAGGTAGAACAGGTAAATAAGAATAGGCCAGTTGACAGCATCCATAAAGATAACTGGTAAGAATGTGTCCACAAACACCACTCGTTGAGGTAAATTCATTACAGATTAACGTGGCTTAGTCGTCGTTCTGGCGCTCTTCTGACGTCATGATACATCGTTAACAGCTGGAACAGCATTTCTTGTATATTTTCTCCCGCTTTGTGATATTCTTTCTTTACAACGATAACAGAGTACAGTAATATCCCTCAGACGTCAGGCCTACGTGCAAAGAAATAACATTGAAATAAATGCTAGTATTTCCATGTAAACGTGCCACTCGCCTGCTATTTCAACTACACTGACTCCGTTGGCGAGGGCAAGTGAACGAGTAACCGTAGTGCTGAGGAGCCGAGGACTGTGGCATTTTTTTGATCCCTTGCATACATGATATAACCGCTCTTTTGTAGAGTGTTTTTACACAATGTATTATTCCGTATTGTGTTAGATCTTAGATCTGGCTCGAGACCGCCCTCGGCCCAGCGTGCTCGGAGGGCGGCAAGGCGCGCGAGACCTACCCCGTTGCCCGCGCGAGTCCTCGCCTCGCTGCCCCTAAAAAACGGCTCTAAAACTTGTGACGAATTTTGTTCAGCTTTGTGTTCTCCATCTCCGAGTTTTACTTGTTACGACAGAAACCAGGCGGTTTTGTGGAGAATGGACGAAGGAAAAGGTAAAAAAGGAGCGTTTTTTCTCTTTTAATCTTGTTCCAGCCTGGGTAGGCAAGGCCCGGTCCAGCTGTGGGATTTCCGTCACGGTACCCGCGACCGGTGTTACTTGGGACCAATGACTTTTTTATGAATTTATTCTACATTTGCTTGTGTTCTGTTCACATTTTCCCGAGTTTTTATTTTAAAGATGTGATACCCCTCTTTGAACGGATAACATGTTACTTTCAGTCGCTTTTCCCAACCAATGTACAAACCTTATCGCCATTGGTTCTTTAGTTTTCTTTTAAAATGTAAAGAAATGGATGAGATCGCAACTAAATGAATACACTTCATAAATCCGAAGTCATTGTTTTCAGTAAAAGAAACAACAGTTTCTATCCACCGTACAGAAAATGTGATTCGATTACATTTGACTGCAATTTAACATACAGATCGTCAATCTGTCTTCGATGTGAATTACATAGACAATTGGGGCTTTAATTATTTAAATCTTTCCTTTTTCGGGTGTCTGGTCTGGAAGGAAATTGACAGTACGTTTTAACAATGTTTATATGAGACCCACCACCAAATATTGTACATTGAGGTTTAATAATATTGGAAACCTGGTTGAGAACCTTTCAAAAACCAAATTACTACAAATCTCAAGTGACTCCCTTAAGTAAATGTGGGTAAATTATGTAAAACACATACATAATTCAAAGACCTGCACGTGTCTGAGACCAAGGTTGTGTATGTGAGACTGCAAGCGTGAATGTGTTACTTAAGAGTGTGTGAGTCCTTGAGAGTCTGTCTGTGGGTGTGTGTGAGTCTTGATAGTGTGTCTGGGTTGTGTGTGAGTCATGAGAGTATGTCTGGGGTGTGTGTGTGAATCTTGAGAGTGTATTTGGGTGTGGGTGAGTCCTGAGAGTGTGTCTTGATGAACTCACCTGCTGTGTTTTCTCAAATAAGGCGACAGTGGTGCAGTGGTTAGCGCTGAAGCCCAGTAGCACTGGGGCCCAGGCTGCTATCTGTGTGGAGTTTGCGTGTTCTCCCTGTGTTTGCGTGGGTTTCCTCCCACAGTCCAAAGCCATGCTGGCAGGTTCATTGACTTCTGGGAACACTGGCGCTGGTGTGAGTGTCTGTGTGTGTACCCTTTGCACAAAGGGTGGTGGGAGTGTGGATCAAGCTGTCCAGATGTGTTGCTAAAGCCGATATCCTGGGCCCTTTCATGAAACAGCTGGACAAGATCTTGGCATCGATTGGCTACCAACTATCAAACCTGGCACATGTGCCAACAGGCCTGCTCTCGCCTGCCACCTTCCTCCTGTGCTTCAAGAGTGATTCCTGAAATCTGACAGCGAGTCCTCCGGCAGCTTGTCCAGCCGGCGTTCTTGGATTTAAGCACGACAGCGTTTCAGATGTGTGTGTCCCTAGTTTATGTCCCATCAGTATGTCTTTGTGTTGTGCAGAGAAGCTGAAGATGAAGAAGCCAAAGTTCGCTCCCCCAGTCGCCCTGGGTGGGCCGGGCGACGGACAGGGGAAAGGGCCGCAGGAGGAGAGGGGAGCAGGAGTGAGGGAGAGGGAGAAGGCGGCGGGGTCGAGAGGAAGGCCGGGTCGGAAGGCCGGCGAGGAGAGCCCGGGACGGGGAATCGGAGCAGGGAGAAGCGCAGGAGAGGAATCCGCGGAGGTGTTGGGAGAGGGGCCGATTCCTCGGACGGGGAAGAGCAGGTCAGCGGCTGCGGGCGGCAAGAGGCCCGAGGAGCGGAGCCTGAGGGTGCCGGGGCTGGAGGGCCAGGCAAGGGAGCTCCTGGGGCCTGGGAGGACAGGGGGGGAGAGAAGGAGGAAGGGGAAGGCTGTAGGCCCCGGTGGAGGTTCGGGAAGGGGAGAGGGGTGGGAGGAGAAGGCCCTCCGGGGGGAAGAGGAGGAGGGCACTGCGCGGCCAGGCCCAGCTGGGATAAAGGAGAGCCTGGCAGGCTGCACGGGTGGAAAGGGCTGGGCGGGATTGCAGCCCGGCGGCAAGAGAGCGGAAGCCGCAGAGCCGAGCGGGAGGAAGAAGGACAGAGCGGGCGGCCAGCGCGGAGACAGGCCACTGCCCGGAGGGACGGGCTCTGTCCTGAAAGAGGGAGCAAAGGAGGGAGACCGGCCCAAAAGCGACAAGAAGAAACCAAAGATGAAAACTGGGGAGTCAGACCAGGAGCCTGAGGAGAAACCTAGAGGCCTACCTGTTTGGAGGACAACAGGGGAAGAGAGGGCAGGGACCCCAAAAAACAGCAAGGTAACAGAGGAGTGTGGGTTAGTAATAATAATAATAATAATAATAATAATAATTAGAGGGTTAGAGGGAGTGTGGGGGTGAGAGAGGAGTGTGGGTTAGAGAGGGGGTGAGAGAGGAGTGTGGGTTAGAGAGGGGGTGAGAGAGGAGTGTGGGTTAGAGAGGGGGTGAGAGAGGAGTGTGGGTTAGAGAGGGGTTGAGGGAGGGTGGGGTGAGAGAGGAGTGTGGGTTAGAGAGGGGGTGAGGGAGGGTGGGGTGAGAGAGGAGTG